CTTGGTTGACTTCCTAAGCTCAGCTGCAGTGATGAACAGAGAGGCATCATTTCAGTGGCTTTAAAAAAATGCCAGGCTCAGTCTGTACCCCTTCCCCGCCCCCAATTACCAAAACCTGCTCAATGGAAAGCACAGTTCCCAAGGCCCTGAGAAGAGAAACAGATCAATTCAGGTATTATCCTTTGGAGAAATTCCATCAAATGAATGAGAAATCAGCTGGGATGAAATGAAAGCATAAACCTCCATTGAAGAATATGACAAAAGTCAAGCTGCTTCAGGAACAGACCTCCCGAAGATATTTGGGAGGTATTTGTTGGATGTCAAGCGTTCCCAAAGGGTAGCAATAAAATGAGCAGGTGGGAGATAAGGAAATATAAAGTGGAAGAAAAAAATGTAGACCGTTTCTGAGGAATGTTTCTACCCTCCCCAAAAGTAACCTTCAACATCCAAACTCTTAAGCCTCAGAGAAGATTTTCATTCTCAAGAAGTTTCCCAGAACCCCTGCTCCCTTACACAGTTTCCACTAGAACTCTCTGTCACTTGCAATCTGCTGATTAGGATTAACGTATTGTGTTCTGATATGGCAGATTAAAAATGAAATCAATAAATGCCTAAAACAAATGGGCTTTTGAGATGTCCTATTCAATCCGAGTCTTTAAGGGTGAGGTGAGAGGTGGAAGGAGGAAATCAGGATGGGGGTGGGAAAAGGACCATTTAAGCAATCAATTTCAGTCCAAAATGTTAGACTGAAATACCCAAGTGATTTCAAGGTATCTATTCCTTTTTCAGAGATCTGCCTTAAGTAACAAGAATGGTCAGAAGCCAAAAGAGTTTGTGCTGCTGTGACCCTTTGGGGTTTATTGCATGCATATGTGCGTATGTGTGTATTTTTCCATTCATTTGTTAACATCATACTTTTGCACAAGTGAAGGAATCCATAGCATGCAATATTTAAATGTTCAAGATGTGAACTTGTCTTTCTGAAGGACATTTAAGCAAAATGAGAGAGCCAGGGTCCCAAATCTACCTGATTCCTACCTAGTCTCTTGAATCCTGTCCCATCTGACAGTAAAGTTAAACTTTACCCTGAGCTGTCTGCCCCCTCCCTCCATCCTGTTGGTTGAGATTTCTGAGACCTCACCCATTATTTCAGAGTCGCCACTATCATGAGGGGGAAAAAGAGATCTCCGAGGTCATTTCTGCTCTGTTGCAGTGTTCAGAGTTGTCCCTGCTGACTATGTTTCCCATGTAAATAACCTGTGCTATTAAGGTGCAAATTGCAACTTTTAAGTAATGATTGCTAATAGTCTAATGTTTACTGCCACACAAGGACATTCATGAAAACAAAATCTGCATTATTCATCTCCATATTAAATAAACAAAATAAATTGAGGGAGCTGTTCTTTCTTGCAAGACTCTCCTCAGAGCTGGATATCGGAAAGCCTCTGAGAGTCAGCAAGAAGGAAACATCTAATCGCTTTGGGTGGGCAGGGGCCGAATCTTATAACTTCCATACATATTATATATTCACAAGATGTGCTCACAAAAGATTTTGTATTCTATTGCAATTGGCTGTCATTAATATAAAAACAGTTCAGGATGGTGAAATAAAATACCTATTATACATGTGTGCACACAGAGACTGAGATAGGTTGTAGAGAATCAAGAGTTAGATTATAAGTCTACAATCTCACATTTTTAACCACTCGGCATCCTGCAAAATGCAATCAAATCAAAACCTCATTCTGTTTTATTTTACTTTCCTGCTATTTTCTGTATCTTCCCTGAAATGCATACAGGGGAAAAATGCTGGTACTGAATCCTGCAATATTTTCAGGTAATAGTAGATGCATTTTAATGGTGAGTGAAATATACATCCAAGAAAGCAAGCATGCACACACAACACAAACCCCTGGGGTATGGTAGGCTGCTCTCTCAACTTTTTTTTTCTTGCCATAAGTAATAGTATGGTGGAATAGCATAACTCAAGAAAGCCAGGAAGAATGACATTTCAGAGGGAGATACTCTGATTTAGCTGTTTCCTTAAAGAGAATTGTCCCCTCACATCCCTTACCCCTGAAGGGGGAGGACTTAACAAATAAACACTAAAATTCCTCGTCGCTTACAATATCATTCTGTTTATTCTATTTAGATACCTGCTTTAGTAGAAAGTTCTGTAATTGATTCCTTGAAACATGGAACTTAAAACTAATAATACAAAGGAATCAAATTGCCTGGAACAGTTCTTGGGAAAAAGAGTGCTCCGGGAGAGCCTCAGCTCTGATCCACTCATAGGCTTTTTCTATCTCCCATTATTCATTAATCAAACTAGAAATCAAGCTTTCAACATCAGTCCTTGGGTGTAATTACTTACAGTTGTGCCTTGTGTTTAATTTTAAGCAGTGATAAAGTTAGTATGGTCATAATCTTAGAACCCACCTTTTCCCCTTCCCTGGATGTTAGCTAGCTACAGAACCCCATAGTGGCTAACTTTACTTGTGAATAACCACTTCAGCTGAAATAGTGTAGGGCATTGATGACCTCAGATGAACAGAAGAAACACTGCATGAAAATCTATCTCCTTTGTTAATATGTGAGCAAATAAACAAGGTAAGAGGGCCCTCCCTGTGTACGAAATGAATTATCCTTTTTCAGCTTAAAAAGCGTTTCCACTTCTTCTGGTGAAAATAATAAGAATCATACAAAACAAACACAGAAAGACAGTAGGAATATAATGGGCCAGAAAACTGAAACTATAGATGCAAGTTTCTAACACACACACACACACACACACACCAATAAACTAGCCAGCACAAACAGATACAGCTTAATGAAAAGAATCTAATTTAAATAATGTGATACAGCATTATGTTACGTACACCTGGATCCTTATCGATTGGAGGATAATTATAATCAAAGTCGAGCAATTCTGAGCAATGCACTTTTTGTAATGAGCTTACTAAAGGAGACATGTCCAGTCATTCTGGTAATTTAAATTACTGCCTAGTTGTTGATAGTCTTTACTGGAACAACAAGGAAAAAAAAAAGAGTAATTTTCAGGGCAGTATCACTTCTTGCTGGACGGTAGCCCAGGGTTCTCTTTTGGAACAACAATAAGGACGTTATCTCTAATAATGTAGTTACACTTAAACTTATGTTGCCAGAACTAGATGCAGCAGCCTTGCTCTTCCTGGGTCTCAAAGGCCATTGCACACATCCACATGCTGTCAGATTGCAAAGCAGCCTAAGTTTTAGGAAATAAGTGGGTTAAATGCAGAAAGAGACAAAGGTAGGAAAGAGACATTGTTTTTGAAAAAAGTAACCAGAGTCCAAAAAAGAAAACTTCACTGATGAGGCAAGTTCCAAATATATACGTCACTAAAAATATTTTAATTATTTTGCTTTTAGGGAAACAATCAGAAAATATTAATCCACATTATCAATATTTCCGCATGCCACTCGAACCAACTTACAAATAGTTAGGGAAGCAATTCTGTGTTCAGAAGGAATAATAATTGTGGATATTTCAAAACACCTATATTGCCATTTGGGCTCGAATCAGGCGAGGAAGGAGAATGAGCTTGGTGGTTTGGCACATTCAGACAAGGGACCCACTCTCTTCAGATTTCTAACTAACTTTGGATTTGTTCTAAGGGTGACTTTGCAAAGTTTATGAAAGTGTTCCACCAAACTTCTCCCTACGTTTTGCTAGAGTTGGAACAGAATGAAATTCGGAGGTGGGTCTGCAGAAGAGCAGCCTTACCTAATGCTGCCTAAATCAAGAGGGCAAAGACAGAGAGAGAAGAAAAAAACAATTAAACAAGCTTTTTGCGAAAGCCCTGATTCAACTAAAGGACACAAAGAAATAAAAACGTCCACATTAAAAGCCAAACAAGATAATAATTGTGCATGTCTGTCTCTGAATATAGAGGGCAAGGTTTGCGTCACTGGCACTCTGAGTTACCATGGTGAGTGATTTATTGATATATATCAAGAATGAATAGATCAAAGGCAGCGAGATGACAGGTGATCAATCAAATGTCAAATCAAAACTAGCAATCAAGTGGAAAGCTGATTTTTCAGTGGGTGGGTCTGGCAGAAGAAAAATGAACTTTCATATTACACTTCCGAGAAACAAAACCCCAGCATACTATTAAAAAAGCAATTAGCAACCCAAAAGCGGGGGGGGGGGGAACCCTTAGAAGGTCTATTGTACTGATCCATTAACCTGTTCCTATCTTTTTTGTGGAGGAATAAGTAAGGGTTCAGATGGGATAGTTCTTATGGTACAAATCGTTTCACAAAGTTTGCAACTCTCTGGGTAAAGAAAATCCAGAGCTGTTTAAATTTCTATGGGGCATTTACCACCCTCCCCACTTTATTAAGAGTAGGGAAATTGTTAATTAGATTTCCCAATATGGATCCTTTTAGACAACATACGCAAAGATTCACCCATTTCCTGGGGCATTTTGTCCACCTTGGTGACCAACGCTAAACTCCTATTTGCTCGCCCCAAAGCCTGCGTGCAGCCCGGGTGTTGGGTATGCCTCACACTTCAGCGCCCCAAGCCCCAGTGAGAGGAGACGCTGTCCCTGGAGGCCAGAAGCCACTGGCACTGACCACGCTGAGGGATGCGGAGGTGGAGGGGCTGTCTCCCTACTCCGCACCCCAAATCCTCAGCCCGACTTTGGCCCGAGAGGCAAGAAATAGACTGGGAGAAAGTTAGGGGTGGGGTAGAGGGTGGAGGAAAAAAAGTTTAAGGAGGAAAGGCTTGGTGGGATAGCTCCCCCCAACCCAACCGTAGCTTGGAAACCGAGGATTTGGGAGACCAGAGAAGGCGCGAGAGAGGACAGGTTACTAGAGGGGCACCCGGCGCAAACTCCCCCGAAAGCTTAAGTGGGTGGTGCCCCGGGCACCCAGGGGCAAAGAGGGCGGGCGAGGAGCGCGGCGCGCAGGGCAGCCCGGGCTGGGCAGCCCCGAAGCGGAGCCGTTTCTCTTACCTGCCGCCCGCTTGGGTGCCTGCTGTTTTCTCCTCGGCATCCTCTACTTCGCTCCAGTCCCACTTCTGGCGCCCCAGCCCCGAGCCGCGCGCCGGGGCCCGCTGTCTCTCTGGCCTCTCTGGGTCTCCTCCGCCTCTTGCCCGGTGGCTCCTAGGACGTCACTCGGCCTCTGTCCCCCTGACGATCCCCCCTGCAACTCCTCCAGCACGGGCCAGAGACCCCCCTCTCTGGGTGGCAGACACGGGTGGCTTGTGCTGGCTGCTTTGAAGTAGAGGTTGGTTCTGCCTTGTTTGTTTGTTTGTTTTGGATTTTTTTTTTTCCTCTCTCTTTCTCTTTTTGTTTTTGCTTTTGGAATTTTTTTTTGTTTTTGCGTTTTTTTTTTTTGGGTGACTGTTGAGACACTTGATTTCTTTATTAAACATCCAAGACCAGGTTCGGATGGAAGGGACGAGGGGCGCACACGCGCCTCACGCACACTCGCGCGTAAAGATAAGGAAAAAAAGGCAATCCTGGGAAGGTAGTGGGTTTCTTCTTCTTTTTCTTCTTCTTCTTTCTCCTCTTTCCCTCCTCCTCCTCCTCCACCACCTCCTCCACCTCCTCCTTCTTCTCTTCCTCCTCCTCCTCCTCCTCGCTGATCTCTATGGCGGATTCGTGCCGGGGGTGGGGGGGGAGAGCGATCACTCACTGTAGGTTTGTGGCTGCTGTCAGATCCCCGTCTGTGAGTGATATGCGAGAGGACAGGAGCGGGTTTTGGAAAGACAGAAAATCTGGAATCCACACACACACACACACACACACACACTCACACACGCACTCACACGCGCACGCACCCCCGCTTCCTCGCACACACACACACTCACACCCCCCACATAGGCACACACACACAAACACACACACACACCCTCGCACACACAAGACAGGGCGAGGCGATGCCAGCAAACATCGATCCCGCTGAACAAACTGAACATTAACAAACTCCTCCTCCTCCTCCTCTCCCCGCGACCTGATGACAGGGAGAAATTTACTCCCCAGCCGCAGAGCGCCAGGCAGCGGGAGCCTATTAAAGGGACAGCGTCCCGCCCGGGAGAGGGGCTGGGGGCGGGGGCCCGGGAGCGCCGGCCCAGGCCCCTCCGAGCGCCCGAGCTCCGCCGGGGCGAGGGCGTGCCCACCGGGCGCGGGGACACCCCTCCGGGAGGAGGAAGGGGCGGAGGCGGGGGGAAAAGAGGTGAGGAGGGAAGGGGTGGGGGAGAAAAAAAAAGGAGGCCGGGTGATGATGTCTGAACTCTGAAGCTGGGAGGCTGGGAGGGAGATTCAAGGGCCAGGTTGGCTGAGCAGCAGGTACTATGCACAATATTAGAAGAGGGAGAACTTAGGTTTGCTCGGGGCGGGGAAAGGGGGGAGGGGAACTTATCTGGTGAGGACCTGCATCCCCTAAGTCTTAACCTGATCCCCCACACCCCCTTCAGTTTAGTGCCCCTGTTCCTCCCACCTTCTCGCTAATCAATGGGTGGTCATAAAAATAAAAATCTCCCTTCTACCTACTTTACGGTCTAATCGCATATTCCTCCTTTTGTTTCCTTTGAAGAGTATTTATTGAGCACCTAATATGTGCCTATTCTGGAGACACCGAGGCCACAGAGAAAGGGAAGGTGGTAACCCTACTCATATTTATATTCTAATGGGGGAGCGCAGACAAGTGGCCCCAGCTATCCAGTCTGCTTAAATTCTCCTTCTCCCAGAGGTCTACCTCACTTAAAATAACACACACACACACACACACACACACACACACACACACACTCCCTGTCCCATTTCTCCACTTTATTATTCCCCAGTGAGCTGATCAGGGTTGCACAGGTAATAGACAGTTTTCTACTTTGTTTAGTGTACGAGTTCCCCTCTTGAATGTAAGCTCCAATGGGAGGAATAATTTTTGCCTCTTTGTTCTGTTGTATCCCTAAGTGTTGGCAAAGCACAAGACATATGGTAAGTGCCCAGTAAAATATTTGTTGAGTGACTGAAAAGTAAGCAAACAAATAAACAGGATACTTTGAGTGACTCACTCCATAAAGATGTTAAACTGTAATAGTGTCTAAGGGGGTGGGTAGCTCTAGATTCAATGTAGGAGATGGCATTGAGCACAGAGACATTGAAATGAGCATGTGATTATTGAGTTCTGCTATCTGCCAGGCACCTTTTGAGTTGTTGGGGACAGGTCTGTGAACAGGATGAACCTAGACCCTGCCCTCAAGGAGTGCTCCTTCTAGTGAGAGGGAAAAGCAATTAAGGGCATTTAATGCAGGCTGGGATTAGAAGCCTGTCTTCCTTCCTTCCTTCCTTCCTTCCTTCCTTCCTTCCTTCCTTCCTTCCTTCCTTCCTTCCCTCCCTCCCTCCCTCCCTCCCTCCCTCCTTCCTTCCTTCCCTTCCTTTCCTTCCTTCCTTCTTTCTTTCTTTTAATTTCAATAGCTTTAGGGGTAAAAGTGGGTTTTGGTTACATGGATGAATTGCACAGTGGTGAAGTGTGGGATTTTAGTACACCCATCACAGGAGTACATTGCAGCCAACAGGTAGTTTTTCATTTCTCACCCCCTTCCCATCCTTCTCCCTTCTGAGTTGCCAATGTCTACGATACCTCTCTGTATGCCTTTGTGGACCCATGTGTTAGCTCCTACTTATAAACAACAACATGCAGTATTTGGTTTTCAATACCTGAGTTACTTCACCTAGAATAATGGCCTCCAGCTCTATCCAAGTTGCTGCAAAAGACATTGTTTTGTTCTTTTCTATGGCTGAGTAGTATTCCATAGTGTATATATATGATGTATATATATGTACATATGTGTGTATATATATATGTATACACACACATCACTTTTGCTTTATACACTCATTAGTTGATGGGCACTTATGTTGATTTCCTATCTTTGCAATTGTGCTGCAATAAATATACAGGTGCAGGTATCTTTTTGACATAATGACTTCTTTTCCTTTGGGTAGATACCCGGTAGTGGGATTGCTGGATCAAATGGTAGATCTACTTTTAGTTCCTTAAGAAATCTCCATACTGTTTTCCATAGAGGTTGTACTACTTTACATTCCCACCAGCAGTGTAAAAGAGTTCCCTTTTCCCCGCATCCACACCAATATCTGTTGTTTTTGACTTTTTAATAATGGCCATTCTGGCTAGGGCACAGCGATACATCACTGCAGTTTTAATTTGCGTTTACCTGATGATTATTGATGTTGTGCATTTTTTCATTACGTTTGTTGGCCATTTGTCTACCTTCTTTTGAGAAATGTCTACTCGTGTCATTTGTCCACTTTTTAATGAGATTATTATTTTTTTCTTGCTGATTTGCTTGAGTTCCTTGTAGACTCTCGACATTAGTCCTTTGTCAGATGTGTAGTTTGCAAATATTTTCACCGATTCTGTAGGTTGTCTGTTTACTCTGATGATTGTTGCTTTTACTGTGTAGAAGTTTTTAGTTTAATTGGGTCCCATTTATTTATTTTTGTTTTTGTTGCATTTGCTTTTGAGGGCTTAGTCATAAATTCTTTGCCCAAGCCAATGTCCAGAAAGATTTTTCCTAGGTTTTCTTCTACAATACTTATCGTGTCAGGTCTTATATTTAAAGTCTTTAATCCATCTTGGGTTAATTTTTGCATATGGTCAGAAACAGGGATAGTGTCATTCTTTTACATGTGGCTATTCAATTTTCCCAGCACCATTTATTGAATAGGGCAGGGGTCCCGAACTCCTGAGCCATGGACTAGTACCTGTCCATGGTCTGTTGGGAACCAGGTGGCACAGCAGGAGGTGAGCAGCAGGTGAGCAAGCATTACAGCCTGAGCTCCACCTCTTGTCAGATCAGGAGGGGCATTAGATTCTCATGGGAGCTCCAACTCTATAGTAAACTGTGAATGCAAGGGATCTAGGCTGCACACTCCTTATGAGAATCTAATGCCCAATGACCTGAGGTCAAACAGTTTTATCCCCAAACCAACCACCCCACCCTGATCTGTGGAAAACCTGTCTTCCATGAAACTGGTCTAGGGTGCCAAAAAGGTTGGGGACCACCAGAATAGAGTGTCCTTTTCCCAACTTATGGTTTTATATGCTTTGTTGAAGATCAGTTGGTTATAAGTGTAATGAAGGTGTTCTTAGAAGGGGCAATTACCCTGAACTTTGTGAAAGGAAGGATGGTTACTAGACGGGGCTTCAAGGGGAGAGGTAAGTCAAAGCTGAGTCCTAAATATGACAGAAGGGTGGGCAAAAAGGGAACTCTAAAATTGAAGCCCTTGTATCAAAAGACAGATATTGTGTAAAGCTTTTGCTTCCTGCATTAAAATCTCCTGAGGCTGCTTTTAAGATGCACATACGTGGCTCTTGCCCTAGAATAAGATTTTCTAACCCAGGCCCTACTGACATTGAGGGTCTGATAATTCTTTGTTAGGAAAGGCGGTCCTGTTCAATGTAGGATGTTCAGGAGCATCCCAGGCTTCTGTTGTGACGATGAAAACTTTGTCTCTAGATATTGCCCAATGTCCCCTGAGGGACAAAATCGCCCTTGGCTTAGCATCACTACCCTAGATTGTCTAAAACAGAAAATTCTGGATGAAGGCTTAGAAATCTGCATTTCAAACATGCAACCTATCCACCCCTACAAGTGAGCCTTTTGCTCACACCAATTAGAGAACATTTGCCCCCAAAACCTTTGTTCTTTTGGAATCAGACATACTCAATATTGTTAACTATAAAGCCAACTCAGGCTTAGTATTAACATAATTTAAGGGTTCAAGAAGTGACATTGTAATGGTGGCCGTCGTGATGAGATTTCACCTGCACCCACTCCTCAATACTCCTCCACCCACCATGATCGCCCCTGCCCTTCCACCTCATCAAGGCCCACCCAGTCTGATCTGGGACACTTCCCACTACAACCCACCCACCTGCCACCTTTGCCTTACTTATGCGGAACTACCAGGTCTGACTAGTTCCGTAAATATTTTTCTTAACAGTTCTTTGGGTTATATGACACTCAACTTTCCCCATCCTACTTGTCAGCCACAAAGTGTTACTGTCATTGTTTGCAAAGTGCTGTTTAATCATTTTTAACCTCCCCACGCATTTCTCCACCTCACATGTGTGGTTCAAGTTGTTAACTCACCTGCCCTAAATCACCCAGAAGGCCTCCACCCATGACCAACCCCATCCAGTCCCAGCCTACCCCTTAGGCAACTGAGGCAGAAAAAACCCAATTTCAAAGTTGGCAATGTCAACAAAAAAGGCATTAATTCTAATTACCCAATCCACTTTTGCAAAGCACTGTGCTACGGACCTTAGCCTACTGGGTAAAACCCCACAGCCCTGCAGTCAAGGAACCACAGTTCTAGGATCTGGCTTATAAGATCAGGAGGCCTGAATAGAAGAGGACCAAGGCTGCAGCAACCTCACCATGAAGCTGCCATGCTCCGTGGAAGCCCCATGCCTGCTGGTGTGGTGTTTGCATTACATCTAGCCAGTTATTTCTCAGACATCTACTGTGCTTGTGAGGTCTACCAGGCCTTACCCCAAGCACAGAAGATGCTGGAATGCAAAGGTAGAATGTTCACATTCAAAAAGCTTTTGAATGTTATAATAACATCCAAAAGACTGGGCACTAAAAAAGGAGAATTCGGAAGCAGAGTCCAGTATTGGAGAGAATCAGGAGGGAAATGGGCAGGAGCAGATGACTTTAGACGACAGAATTTCCCTAAGGTTCTATCCAATATTCTCACAATTGTACATGCACTCTCTTAGTTTTCAATAGCTGGTTATATAACGTGGGGGACTTGTAACAATTCTGCAATACCTACTTTCTGGCTGGCTACCAGCACATTGTTGGATCCACATTTCCGAAGTGTTCTTTTATTAATTTGTATTTTTTTCCTACTGCTACTAATAGTTAGCTTAGCTTTCCACAAAGACTTTGGCTTAAACCACTGGGATACATAACACAATGGTACCCATGCTGTAGACAAGATGTTAAATAACATTGAATCACA